ATATGATGATGGGTTAAATGAAGTTGAGGTAGTCACAAATGTGGTCTCACTAGTAATTACTACAGTTTAATATGGTTGTTGGCCCACATCTTGCCTGACAGATAACGTTCCAGCTTGTCAGTGATGAACCCTTTCAGCACAGCTTTAGGAGTTCTGCCAGCCATTGCCGAGTCTGGTTAGGTCAAAGGGTTGAGCCATGTGTAATTCAGAACAGAGGAGGTCCCACGGTCACTCCACAAAAACAATTACACTACTTATTTCACTCAAGCCCTTGCCCAAAACTCACAAGCCTCACAGTTTCAGTGCAGTCAATCTAATTCTGCCCCTGGGCGATGAGCCACGTGAAAATATGTGGTGCTGTGTTTATAAATCTACTCAAAAATAGAAACAGTGGACAGGCACAATGAGGTCCTACTATGGATCATGGGAATCCTTGGAAATTCTGAAGGCACTTTTGTTTAAGTTCTAGAGACTCTCTTTTGCTACGACATTGTCTGCTGCACTCGTTAATCATCCTCTTTACCCGTGAGTGCTACAAAGGAGACTAAATTTCTACTCACTTCCATACTTTCCCTCTGTGGAAAATATTATGAAAAATAAAGCTTAAAAGGCTCCTTTTAAAGAAAAAAAAAGCAAAAAACAAAGAGAGGGCTACTGTTATATCAATCTTACCTCTCTATCCATGTTCTTGGCTCCTTGCCCTTGGCAATGCACAGATTTAAATCAAGTTTCTCTAAAAAAGAAAAAATAACATTTGAAAACTAGAATAAATTGGTCCAACCATAAGATATATTAAGCAATTTGGGGTTGGAGAGCCAGTACTATGATGCTACTTAGCGGTCCCAAAAAATCTAAGCATAGAATCAAAAGGATTTGATTTGGTGTCTTGTTTTTATTATTGTTGTTCTCTGTTTGTTTATCCATACACCTAATAAACTGAGAATCAGTGAATATTCACAAAATGTTTTAAAATGATAATTTCTAGGAAAAATTCAGACTTGATATAGATAGCCTAAACTCTATTTTTATGCCAAAAAAAGGTGACCAATTAGACTTCATTGAAGTTATGATGAAAACTTGTTTATTTTATGTAGCTCTATTATATTTATTTTTTTTTAAATTAGGATCCAGTTTTGTAACTTTCAGAAATAGGTAATATTGGATATAGTCAATAATAAACAAGTGTACTTAAAGACCAAGAAGATTAAATGCTGAGAACATTATCCAGCAAAGACATGGAATACACAAATTTTAATAAAAGGAGATGTATTTCTAGCATTCTTAAAACTCAGAGTCATGCAATAAATTATCAAGTTCAATCTGCAAGCCATTCCATTTGATATTATTTCAATTGATAAGAATACAATACTAGAATACAGTCTGGGGGCAGATGATTATAATAAATGGGAAATTTTTAAAAGCAATAGTCCCAATATTTATTAGATTATTATAAACATTCACCAAAGAAGCTTTTAATTTTAAATGTGGAATTTGCCCTTGGGAAGTGGCTATCAGTATTTGGCAGTAACACAAAGTACATCATGTATGAATGATACATGTGACACATTTTTTTTATTCAGAGCTATCAATCATGGTTTTAAAAAGTCACTTCACAAAGTACAAATGAGCTCTTCTATGGCTATCTATCAATGTTGGAAGATAAAAGATTTTAGTCTTTCTAGTGTTAATTTTAAAACTCAGTTTTTTGTAAGATTAATATAAAAGATTCAAAGATTATATTGTTTCTTAAAATAAGGAGAATATAGGTAAGATTATTTAAAAGAAAAAATCAACATCAAAATGAGAAAATTTTAACCACTCAACAGAAATTAAAGTTTGACTTGCTTGTTTCTTCCACAGCCAGTGACTAAAGAGTAATGCAAAAGCATATATTTCAGGGAATGTTTGTGGAGTGAAGATCTGTTTTCTTTTGTTTCCTTAAATTTCTTATTAATTTCATGGTTAATATTTGTCTTTAAAGTGTTTGTAATTTATAAAGTTGTTCATGCTATTGTCATCATACATTTCTTTTGCAGACATATCATCCAAATGTACAAGCCAAAAAGCATAGTACCTTCATTAACCTAAGATAATGCTCAGGACACTATTAATAAGGCAGACCACTCTCTCTTCACGGCAGGCTGCATTTTAAACATCTTCTGTACGACTATTCAGAATGCAATATTAGTGCAGTAAGACTCAGTACATTTATGAAATAACATCCAAATCCCTTTATTATCTCTTATAAAATATGTAGTTGAATCAAGAAAGTCGTTCAATAGAACCAAATAGTACATCATTTAAAAAAGCAGCTACAGCTAGAGAAGTAAAACTGTATACTCCCCTGTCTCATAACCAAAGGGTATGGCCAACTGTCCCTTCCTGCTTAGGAATCTCTGGGAATTGAGATCAGGCATTATTTGCAATAAACAATCTCAATCTCCAAGTTTCTGTGAGCTGGAATCTAGAGTTTGTAGTCAGATCCCTTACAATTGGAGGACAGAGTGAGAACAGAAGTGATAAAGCACAATTGATTCCCTTTGAGTCAGAGAAATATCAGGGGACCTGTGACCTGGCTGTAGGGCAAAAAAGATGTGGACAAGGTGTCAGCTCTCATTTAAATATTGATACATGAATATTTATCCCCACTGCAATTCCTGGGAATTTAATTTGAAGATCCTGAAAATGGGAACAATTGTTAAGAGGTCAAAATGACCTTTTAACTGCTAAGAGATATGACAAATAGAGTAGATGGAGGAAATAGGTGTGAGGCAAGTTCCAGAGGCCAGAGATGCCCAACTAATAATGATACACGGGCAGCAAAGAACTTTGAGGAACATGCAGGGTAAGAATTTAAATAGGAAAAAATAGATGAAAGAAATCAGAACAGCAGTGAAAATGAGAATGACAAGTTCATAGAACAATGAGTAGAATCTGTCAGCTAATAATAATTTCGATAAGTTAGTGATGGATGAGCAGCCACTGCACCACCTAAAAAAACCTATCACTTGTATGAGTAACTGGTAAAATAAGGAGCCATTCAGAGAACTAGCCTATTTGTTTAACTATCTGTGTGTTTTATATTGTCAAGGAAGTCTAAAGAGTTTCCTTTGCAAAAGAAAAGGAAATAACAGTTATAAATGCTATAAACTTACCAAATACTTTTTGGGCCTTTCAGGACCACTAGACTTAATGAACTAGTGGCACCATTATAAAATACTCACTGCTGCAAATTTGGACAACAGTGTAGCATGTTTTTTGCAATGCAAGTGGCCTACAATAGAAATCATGTTTTAAAAGCTAGTCTCAGACTTGCAAGCAGGTTGATAATTGAAATATAACCTGCTTGCAAGTAACCTGTTGACTACATTCTGTTGAGCTCAGGTTAATAATCACCCACTAATTTGTAGTCCCTTGTTTCTTTCTTTCTTTCTTTCTTTCTTTCTTTCTTTCTTTCTTTCTTTCTTTCTTTCTTTCTTTCTTTCTTTCTTTCTTTCTTTTTCTTTCTTTCTTTTTGGTGGGGGGAGGTGTTTGTTTTAAGGCTTATTTTAAGTGCTTTCACTGAAATTGTTGACCTTGTATTGCAAATTAAATTCTAGAATTGCCAAATCTCTGACAACTGGTTCATTGCTTCCAGAGAAGGGAATTAACATGGCTACAGCTGTCATTCCATTGCATTTTTCTTCTCAAGCAGACCAGCAAGGGCAAAGACGGTGTTAGACAGAGGTCGCAAGCCAGATTCTGTCTGCAAACATGTTTTGTTTGAACTTCACAGTGATTTAAAACATATTCAGCCAATAATTAAAAAATAAGAAAATTACAGTAAAAATTTGACTTCTGGCTTCTTTTGGAAAATTTTAAAATTTGGCAACATAAGGTCAATATCCGTGGTTGGCAACAACTGGCTGGAGGTAAGTGGTGGCAGCACTCTCTTCGGGTCTACAGGTCCCACACTTCCTATTGCAGACCACAAACCAAATGTAAGCTCAATAAGGTCAGGGCTTATTTAATTAATTGCTGCATCCTCAAAACAGAGCCTAGCAAGTAGCGGGTGCTTGATAAGTATTTAATGTTGAATAAAATGATCTCAGGGGCAGACAGAAAATTTTAATGGGTGCTTTAAGACAATAGGCAGTGCCCAGGAACTGTTATAATACATGCTTCAATTAAAAAAATATTAGTGCAGGTCAAATAAATTCTGCCAGTCCTCAGGCAGAGATAGAGTTCTCATATATCATTCTGCTTGTATTACTGCTTTTCTTATAAAGAAAGATATCTCTGTATCCTTGCCACTATCAAAAGTAGGGCCACAAATGTCAAGGAAACTGAGAGTGAACACAGACCCAGTACATTTCTCTCACTTGTATTTCTTGCCTGGCCCGTACAAGCATCTGAATTTGAAACCTCTGGGAGAGAGATGAGACTAGGCCTAACACCCATGATAACAAACTGCTCTACCATACTCCTCCTTCATTCTGCCAAGTAGTTTTCTGCAATACAATTTAAATCTACATTAGAGAATAAATAAAAAGAGGAATATAAAAGCTACTTTGGAAAGTCACTAGTTACACCTAACGCACTATCACTCTACATGAAGAGTCAGAATAACAGTGAGGAATGAACTTGTGTTTACAGCTAGAAAACCATTGGTCAAGATCTCTTGCACATGGGGTAGTTGCTTAACCTCCTAAAGTTTTCAATTCCTCTGCATGATAATTGAGAAAATCAAAAATTATGTATGTCAGATTTCCAGCTTCCACTTAAGGTATAGAGAACTGGAAAGGGTGTTGTTCCCAAACATAAAGCAAACAATTTCCTGAATATCTGCAAATTCACAACTTTTATTAAACCTATGAGAGAGTGGAAGTTACATTATAACCAACTAATCTAAAATCTAAGGAAAAATAGGTGGCTCCAAAGAGTGACAGGATGCAAGCATTTGCTTACAGGAAGAAAAATAAATTGGTTCATTTATTATGAACCAATGAAAAGAATTCAGCTAAAAACTGCTAACAAACTTTTAAAGTTTAAAGGTGGCTTCATGTGAGAACACAGAACTTGTGAGGATCTTCAAACACAAGGAGAATTCACAACCACTCATAGGTTCTTCTCCATGGACCTCCTGGGTTCTCAGAAGAAAGATTGAGCAAAGTGAGAGTTCAGGGCAGTGGTTCTAGAATAGGAACAATTACACCTCTAAGAAGGGATTTGATGAAGGGTAAAAAGGATCAAATATATGGTAGCTGAAAGAAACTGGACTTTGAATGGTAAACACACAACAGAAAATACAGATGTCAAATTATAATGTACACCTATATAATTATATTAACCAATGTTACCCCAATAAACATAATTTTAAAAAAAGAAGAAGAAAGTATTTGGCAAAGTCTAGAGACACTTTTGATTGCCATATCTGGGGGGACGCTGCTAATATTCATTGTTTAGAGACCAGGAATGTTGCTAAACATTCTGCAATACATGGACTAGCACTCTACAACAAAGAATTCTTCAATCTAAAATGTCAATAGAGATGCTTTTCAGAAACACTGGTCCAGAGAAAGCCTCCCTTGTGACAGAACAGAAGCCAGTTCAGAACAGCACAAGGCCCCACCTGAATATTCCATCTTTATCTTCTCTTGAGAACAAAAACTTTAATTTTCTGGGGAAGAGTAGCAAACCTGGTAGCCCCCGACTGCAGGTTAAAAGCCATTGCAGCTGAAAGAAGAGAACATA